CATGAGTTCCAGCTATGGAGGTTTCTCACTTATTCAGGTCCCACTTAATCAAGTTTTACTGTATATACCTAATTTCACTTATTCATTATAGCGTATTAAATGTACAGTGTTAATCGTAGGCCTCTCCCACAGATTGACTCATATGTGTGAGTGAGAATAGGGGTTGGGTTTTACATTGTTATTTAAGAACATTTTTAAAATAACTCAATTTATTTTATGACTGCTTCAAGCTGCATCTGTAGTCTAAAAGTATAAATGATTTTAAAGTGATTTGTCACCATTGCGTAGTTTAATTATTATAACATGCTTTAATATATATTTTTTTTCAATTTTGTTTCAGCTGGATTAGGTGATGCATTGGGTGTGGACTGGGCAAGTTTGGTTGCTGATGCGCGACGACGCGAACAAGTTCCCCCCACTGGAGGTGCTCGAGATCGTTGGCGACCAGAAAGAGTCCTAGCCCGTCTTGGTCTGTCTTTACATATGGCTGGCACAGATACAGTACAGAGCATATTAAATAAGAATGCGGAGACCCTTCAAATAGAAAAGAATAAAATAGACTCAAATACTGATAAAAATAAAATACAAAATGGCTTATCTGAGAACACTGAAAAACAAAATGTAGCACCAGATGTTAATTCCCTGCATCCAGTTGCTTCAATACAGGTATGTGTTTTGAATGTCAATTATTTTTAACGTTTGCATGACTACTTACATGAATGATTACATAAAATGAAACAAACTAGCAAAGATAATATTGTGATTCAGGTCACACCTACCTACAATATTATAATCTTCTAATATATAAAAATTTATATTTGTTTGTTCGTATTTTATGCGCTGACATATCGTTCATCAGATTGCACTTAAACTTTGTGATCTTATTGCTTGCACTTGCGCGAAGATTACTGGCATAGTACAATTAACGGCTCCGTGGCGCAGTGGCTTAGTAATGAGTTGCAGTGCTGGGGGCCGCGGGTTTGAATCCCGCACGGTACAAGTATTTGTATGACCTACAAATAATTGTGCCGGGTCTGGATGTTTGTCCTTGTGCAATTTGTGTTTGTAAACTGCTTCCACGATACAGGAGAAAATCTTAGTGTGGGGATAACATTCTTACAAATTTATTTGAGTTATAATATATTATTCAGTTTCAATGAATGTATTATCATTCCTAATGAAACAATATAACTCCTTCAAATTTAAAACAATATTTCCACAGTTATTTCATCTGCGGCAGCAACGCACCGGGTACCAGCTAGTATATATATATATATATATATATATATATATATATAACATAATGCATTGCCATGTCTTCTGTATTTTAAAAGATAAGAAGGACAGAATGTTAGAGAATTTTTTTAATTAATTGTTCTTCACCATTCGCCTACATTACTTATTCTGAAAATATGGCCATATATTGCAAAATAACCCTGTATATAATGTAACAACATTTAACAATATTAATTTCTATTTCATTATAGGTTGCCACAGAAAAGAGAAAAAGGCAGCGAGCAGTTCTTTTTGGATCTGGTTGTGAAATTACGCGTGGGTTAAGCGCAAGACGTGATTTAGCTTTACGAAGATATTTATGTAATTTACCAACAGCAGAACGGACTGGCCAATCTCGTGTAACACCACAACCTTCATTATTCCATGCTGCTCGAGCTTTACTGATGCAAGAACCAGTAACTGGCTGACAAAGACCAAATCATTAGTCATAACTATGCAACAGTGTAGTGTTTACAAAACAAAAGTGTACATTACAAAATAGGGAACATGTCAAACTGTTTCAGGAATGTGTTTAATAAAAAGTGAAGTATGTTCAAACACTATGCTCTTACTAAATAAGGGTGAATTTTGTATGTGATCTTTGTAGTGCAGTGAGAAACATTGAATAATTTTCTATAAACATGTTCTAAATAAATGACTGTCAAATAGTTAAGATTATCTAATTATATAATGAATTTAATATCAATAGAAAAACATTTTCATACTTTTAACAAAGCTGTTTATTTTTATATATGAGTTCTGCTTCATTATAAATAGTTGTCATAAAATATTATGTAGGTACAGGTTTATAAAATTCAACTTAATAACTTTCCTATTCTTCCAATAAAAATGATATATTTTGTCCAACACTATATTCTGTTTTCTTTCCTCCCCTGAAATTAATTGTAATTCAATATGAATATGTTATCAATTCTTAGCAATTTTTAGGGATTGGGCCATAACACAAATTACTTACTTTTGGAACAAGACAGCACCAGCAACTCCTTTGAGAATTAATGAATTACCATCTACATGTAATATAGAACCTTCTCTTAATCCTAAAACTGCATTTGCATGAGGCATGCTAATATATTCACCAATTCTCTGGTCTCTAGTTTCACCTTTATGCGTTTCATTTTCATTCTTATCAGTATAGTGTGGATTAATATTAAAAGGTACCAATCCAATGGCTTCAAAAGATGGTGGATATATTATGGGCATATCATTTGTTGTATGAATGCTTTTAGTAGCTACATTCGTTCCAGCGCTACTTCCTATGTAAGCTAATTTTCCTTCAAGCACTCTGTTTTTTATAAGATCAACTAAGTTGTGGGTATATAGCCTATCAAGAAGTAAAAATGTGTTTCCACCACCAATAAAGATTGCCTTAGCAGAGCTAACTGCTTTCTTAGGTTCTGAATAAGTATGCAATCCAGTTACGGAGAATCCCCAATGACTTATAACTCCTTTAATTTTGTTGGTATAATCATCAAAGTTGTTTTGAGCAAATGGTACAAATAACAATTCCTTCACATTATTTCTGGAATTAAAGTTACGTTATTACATTTATTCATAGTATTGGTTTGCTGATGATGCACTGTAACTTGTACAAGTGTAGTATTACCTATCATTTGGATGAAAATGGTGGTAAAACTGGTAGTTTTTTTATATAGGATAGGGTGAGAAACGAGCACAGTCCACCTGATGATAAGTGGTTGCTGTGACCTATAGACATCTACATCTATCCTCAATAAAGAATTAAAATACAGATGCACTGCCACTCGTGAGGACTAAGATGGAAATGGAATGCCTCTTCTCCAGTAAAAAGGGTCTCCGGTTCTCTACACTCACCCTATGAAACACAGCAGTGTTATGCTGCTATTTTATGCTGGTATTCTGTGAGAAAGTGGTCCTTCCCTGGTAGAGCCAATCCATTCATACTACTAATATAGCTGTAGTGCAGCATAGCTCTATCACATATAAAACTTACTATGATGTTCATTGTTCCCCAGTTTTTTGAAAAATTTGTTTATGTAGCAGTCATTACATAATGCAGTTGCATGTGATTAACTTTGAATTCTGGTGCCATTGTGGATGATTTGTTATATGTGTATAATACCTATAATATAATCAATTTTAAGATGATAAGATGCAGATCATTAAAATGAACGAACTGGTCACATTATGAAGTATCCAAGAAAAGTATAGCAAAATTTTCTTTGACTTGTATCCTAGAGATGACAGAATGAAAAGACTTCAGAAGATTGGAAGTTGAACTTTTTTAAACTTTCAGCTGTTCCTAATTGGAGAAGGGACGGAAATCAATGTGCCAGGAGGCACACTAAGCTTAGGAATATATTATAAAACTGAAAAAATTGTACAGAAATGGACTTTAGTATAAAGTCTGCAACAACAAACACTTGTATGCATATAAAAAACAATATAAAAATCTTAAGAAACGTAGAAAAGCATTTGTGTAAACAATTTGTGTTCTAAGTAATATTATTTGTATCTACATATGTAAATAGCCTCTGTTATGATAGACACGTAGCTCAGACTACCTAGGTCTAAAACATCAATTTACTCACTTATTTAAAAAAGCACAAATTTCTTCTTTAGCAAACTCTAACATAGAATATCCATGGCAATTGGATGATGACAATAGTAATGCTTGACGACCAGACATTTTAACTAAAATTACGATGCAAGATTCTATGGATGCAGGTTTGTAAGTTGCACAATACTCGTATATACAATATTTTCAATGAGAAGGTTATATAATCAATGTACAAGTGATTATGCTCTTCTATAATATGAAAATCTAGCTTTTTCTAGATAACAAACTTGATATCTATACCTACATTAATACAAAATTGACGTTTTAATACTTATATGCATATTATGTACATGTACGTGTAGTATTATGTACTACGTACATAATACTTAAAATTTATAAGTTATACGTACGTACGTATCAATTGTGATCAGTATTGCGCAGTACGTGTACTTCCCTATATATAATGTACTCTGTGACCTGTACGTACCTATTGATTTTTAAACTGTGACATTTCTGATTATTTAAAGTACTCTGTGCTGTGACAGTATGAAAATATCTGAATTACCTATTGAATTTAGGTTAGGTACATAATGGTGACACTTCACATGGCTATTTGTATTTGTAATTGCATGTTACCGTATTTGGTAAAAAATTCGACGTACGGGCAAATAAGCGATACAACCGTCTACACATGGAGCCAAATACCAAAAAATTAAACATGTTTACTAGCAGAAAGTAGTTGTACCTACAAAATGGACGTTGCACTTGCAGCTGGATTTTATTATTTGGATGCATGTTACTTGTTGGTAATTGTATTATAAATGTATTATTGTTGTAATATAAATGTATTGGCAACATTTTTTTCTGTTTCCTCTCTTCAATATGGCGTAAGCAAAGTATTACTCGTTTGATGTACCTGTTCTTTTTATATCAAATAAATAAGAAAAACTAAAACAAGAATGTGTAAATTAATTATTTTAACATGGTAGCAGTCCGTGGTTGATAAGTTTCGAAAAATACCCGGCTTAAAAACGAACAAAAAAAAAAGAATAAAATGGCGACTAAAAATAGCGGTATAAATATTCCAATTTTCGACGGTACAGACTATAGTAATTGAAAAATATGAATACTCAAATTTCTGCAGTTCGAAAAGTGCAAGGATGTTGTAATGAGAGCGAAAATTGCAACCGACAAAGTGGAGTGGGACGACAGAGATGTCCAAGCAACTAACTATATTTATAGTGTAATAACCAACAAGCAGTTGGAATATATAAGCGATCTTGATTCAGCCTACGAAACAATACAGAAATTCGACGAGATGTATTTAAAAAAATCAACAGCATTGCAAATAGTATGTCGACATAACCTCGAAAGTGTCAAATTGAAAAATTATTCTGAAGTGTCTCTATTTTTCGATGACTTTAAAAAATCTGTAAATGAGTTAAAACAAGCAGGTGCAACGATATCAGAAACAGAAAAACTAAATTATATGTTAAAAGCACTCCCAGTAAGTTACAGCTACATAGGTGATTTAATTGATGTCTTGCCAGAGGGTGAAAGAACAGTTGACTATTTAAAAAGTAAAATAAAATTGAAAAATACGGAAAATGTGAGTGAAACGTTAAATGATACATCAAATGCTTTTAAAGCAGATGCCAAGCCATCATATAATTGTTTTAGTTGTGGAAAACCTGGCCATCTGAGAAGAGACTGTAAATCAGGAAATGTAAACCGTGATCGAGGACGTGGTTTCTCTGGTTATAGAGGACGTGGTTTCTCTGGTTATCGAGGACGTGGTTCATATAATAACAGAGGACGAGGCTCAGGAAATTATCACCATAATAATCAAGAGAGTCACGGAAACAGTTTTCATACTACTATTGCAAATAATACTTACACAACGAGTGAGAATGATAAGACAAAGAAAGGTCAAATAAATTTGTTACTAGACAGCATTGTGCATCCAGCACAGACCATATTATTAATACTGATGAGTACTTCAATTCCTGTGAGATATTAAATAAACCTGTTAAAGTTAAAATTGGGGACGGCACAATATTAGAAGCTACAGAAATTGGTAATATTAAAACTTATTTCTTGGTCTATGGACAAAAATATGAAGTGACTCTGACAAATGTTTTTTTGTAAAAGAATTAATGAAGGCAAATTTATTGAGTTATTCCAAAATTACTGACAAATATTCAATCAATTCAAGTGGGAAATTGTCAAAAATTTACAACAATTATGGAAAGGTTATAGCAATTGCAATTAAGGAGGCGAGACTGTATAAGATGAAAAGTTACATGTATGAAGAAATATTGGAAGCAAATATGAGTAAAAAGGAAAAACTACATCGCACTATGCGCCATATTAATTTTAAAAATTTGGAATTAATGTGTAAAAATGAGTCATTAGAAGGATTACCTAAAGATATTGAATATGAATATTTAAAATGTGCAATATGTATTGAAAACAAAATGCATAACTTACCATTTCATAATAATCGACGGAAAGCAGAGGAGATATTATATACGACTACTTGGTGCAATATGTTAATGAGGTACAGAACTTGACAGGAAAAACGATAAAGGAACTGCGATGTGACAATGGGAAGGAATATATGAATGGAAGAGTTTTTCAGTTCGCAAAAGAGAAAGGAATAATAATAAAACCCTGTCCAGCATATGTTCATCAATTAAATGGAACAGCAGAGAGATACAATCGTACATTAATGGATATGGGTAGATGTTTTTTATCAGAAGCAAAGGTAGAAAGAAAATATTGGGCAGAAGTAATTAAAACAGCTGCTTATCTTAAGAACAGAACTTTGACTAATACTATTGAGAGGAAAACGCCGTATGAAATATTTTTTAAAAGAAAGCCATCAGTCCAAAATTTGAAATTGTATGGAAGTAGAGTTTTTGTAAGAATTCTCGAAGAACAGAGAAGGTCTAAATGGGATAAGAAAGCAGAAGTTGGAATTTTACTTGGTTATACTGATACCTGATACTGAGACCTGGCAACATACAACGCACGCAGCCTGAGGACTGACGAGAAGATTGTGGAGCTGGAAGAAGAGATAGACAAGTTACGCTGGCATATTATAGGATTATCCGAAGTCCGAAGAGAGGGGGAGGAAACAGTAATCCTCGAATCCGGCAACTTGATCTATTACCGGGAGGGCGACCATCTGTCCCAAGGAGGTGTCGGATTTATCGTCCACAAGTCTCTCGTTAACAACGTTGTAAAGATTGAGAGTGTGTCGACGAGGGTTGCGTACCTTATACTCAGAATCACCAAACGGTATTCGCTAAAGGTCATACAGGTTTACGCACCAACCTCGGCACACCCCGATTAGGAGGTGGAGGAAATGTATGAGGATATCTCTAGAGCCATGCATTCCTCCAAAACCCAATATACGGTGTTAATGGGAGACTTCAATGCAAAACTAGGCACAAGAGAGAACGGTGAGCTGAAAGTGGGGAAATTTGGAATAGGGCAACGGAACCTAAGGGGCCAGTAGCTGACCGACTTCATGGAGAAAGAGGGACTTTTTATGATGAACTCTTTTTTCCAGAAGCGGCCCCACAGGAAGTGGACCTGGTCGAGCCCCGACGGTTCGACAAAAAATGAGATTGACTTCATTATGACGACCAGACGACAACTGTTCAGTGAAGTCTTACTGATCGCGAGGGTGAAAACCGGCAGCGATCACCGAATGGTTAGAGGCACACTGAACCTAAACGTTAAGTTGGAGAGGTCTCGTCTAATGAAGTCAACGCTCCGTCCCCCTCGTGCTCTAATCCAAAGTCCCGAAACCTTTCAGCTCTAGTTACAAAACCGTTTTCAGTGCCTAGAAGACTGCAATGAAGTGGACGATTTGAATGACAAGCTCGTGGAAACTGTTCATGCGGTCGGAGCTAAGTTCTGCAAGACCCGCCGCAGAAGAACACAAAAACTCTCCGATCACACTCTTAATCTCATGGCTGTTAGACGGGAGATGAAGCTACATTCTTCAACAGATTTGACAGCATACAGGCAACTGAACAGACAGATCTCCAAATGCATGCGGCGGGACTTACGCAACTTCAATACAGCTCGTATTGAAGAAGCGATCGAGCGGAACCAAGGCTCCAAAGTCTTTGCCAGAGATCTGTCTGCCAGAAAGAGCCAACTGTCAAAGCTGAAGACCGAATGTGGCAGCATCGTTTCCGGGGCACCTGAGATTTTGAGTGAGATAGAGAGGTTCTATGGGCAGCTGTATACGTCATCGTTGGAGCCGCACGCAAGTGTGAGTAACGATCTAAGAGCGAGTCTTATCCGACATTATTCCGACGATATCCTGGACGTAAGTCTGAGCGAGATTAGAATGGCTCTCCAGCACCTTAAAAACGGCAAGGCCCCAGGCGAGGATGGAATTACAGCGGAGCTTCTGAAATCGGGTGGGAAACCGGTACTTGAAGTCCTTCAGAAGCTCTTTAATTCCGTCCTCCATGGTGGCATTACACCGGAGGCGTGGAGCAGAAGTGCGGTGGTCTTGTTCTTCAAGAAAGGCCACGACGCTCTCTTGAAGAACTACAGACCGATTTCCCTTGTGAGCCGCGTCTACGTGCTGTTTTCGAGAGTCATTATGAATCGTCTCGCGCGCAGACTTGACGACTTCCAGCCTCCCGAACAAGCCGGTTTCCGAAAAGGCTTTAGCACCATAGACCACATACATACCCTTCGGCATATTGTACAGAAGTCCGAGGAGTACAATTTGCCACTATGTCTGGCGTATGTGGACTATGAGAAAGCCTTTGATTCCGTCGAAATATGGGCGGTGCTGCAGTCCCTTCGGCGATGCCAAGTTGACTGTCGGTATATCGAAGTGTTGAAGTGGTTGTACAGTAGGGCTACGATGGCTATCCGAGTACATAACCAGAGTACGAAACCTATCCCATTGCAGATAGGTGTAAGACAGGGTGACGTCATATCCCCGAAACTCTTTACCGCTGCATTGGAAGATGTTTTCAAGCTTCTGGACTGAAAAGGATACGGTATCAATATCAATGGCGAGTACATCACTCACCTTCGATTTGCCGAAGATATAGTCCTATTGGCAGAATCGCTGGAGGACCTAAGCACTATGCTCAATGACCTCAATAGTGTTTCCCAACGGATAGGTCTTAAGATGAACATGGACAAAACAAAGATCATGTTTAATGTCCATGTCACACCTATGCCGGTAGTTGTTGGGAACACTAAGCTCGAAGTTGTTAACTAGTATGTTTACCTGGGACAAATAGTCCGACTAGGTAAGTTCAACTTCGACCGAGAGGTCAATCGACGGATTCAACTCGGTTGGGCAGCGTTCGGGAAATTACGGCACATCTTCTCGTCAGGTATACCTCAAAACTTGAAAACGAGACTGTACACCCAGTGCGTGTTGCCAGTGATGACATACGGAACTGAGACGTGGTCCTTCACTGCTGGCTGGATGAGGAAGCTCAAGGTCGCTCGGCGAGCTATGGAGAGGGCTATGCTCGGAGTTTCTCTGCGTGATAAACTCAGAAATGAGGATATCCGCAGTAGAACCAGAGTGACCGACATAGCCCAACGGATTAGTAAGCTGAAGTGGCAATGGGCCGGCCATATAGCTCGAAGAACCGACAACCGATGGGGAAGAAAGGTTCTCGAGTGGCAGTCTCGTACCGGCAGGCGAAGTGTAGGGCGTCCCCCCACTAGATGGAGTGACGAACTGGTAAAATATGCAGGAAGTCGATGGATGCAGGTGGCTCAGGACCGTGCTTTGTGGCATTCTTTGAGGGAGGCCTATGTTCAGCAGTGGACTTGTGAAGAGCTGTAATGATGAATGAATGATGATACTGATACTGGATACAGAGTGTTAATTAATAACAGAGTTATTATTGCTAGAAATTGTGATATAATAGAGGAAGATATTAAATTGTGTGGTTTGGAAGGTGAGGAAGATAATAATACTGAATATAAAATAAAAGAAAAGGACAATGAAGATAAAAGGACACAAGAGGAAAGAGATATAATAAAATACTCAGAAAATGATGAAACAAGTGTAGCAGAAAGTAAAGACGAAGAGCAAAATAGAAAATCAAAAAGACAAGTCAAACGTCCACTTCGTTTTGATGAAGAATTCGGTTATTATTGCATATACTGTAACTACTGCGACGCTTTAGCTCCAACTGATTTTCAGGAGGTAACTACATGTAATGAGGCAATGAAATGGAAAGAAGCAATGAATAGTGAGATGGACTGTTTGATGAAAAATAACACATGGATTCTAGTTAACAATCCCCCTAAGGACAAAAACGTAATTGATGTGAAGTGGGTATATAAAAGGAAGAGCGAAAATGAATACAAAGCAAGGTTAGTAGTAAGAGGTTTTCAACAAAAAAATTGTATTGATGATACTTATTCTCCTGTTGCTAAAATGCCGACACTTAAACTACTATTATCTTATTGTTGTCAAAATTCTTTAGTTATTCATCAAATGGACGTTGAAACAGCATTCCTAAATGGTAGAATCTTATCTGAAGTTTATCTAAAGCAACCAATCGGCTATGAAAATGGAACTGATAAAGTTTATAAATTAAATAAATCATTGTATGGTTTAAAAGAAAGCCCCCGTGCATGGTATGAATGTTTTAATGAGTTCTTGACTAATTTTGGTTTTTGCAGAAGTAAATATGACTATTGTTTGTATGTTAAAAGGGAGAACAACTTAACTGTTTATATTCTTTTATTTGTTGATGATTTATTAATATGTTGTGAAAATGTAGAAGTTATTGCTGACATAAAAACTAAATTTTCTGAAAGATTTAAAATTAAGGATATGGGTAAAGTAAAAAACTTATTGGTATCGAGATTGAATATGTGTATAATCAAAATAATATCCTAATATTGAGTCAGAAATCTTATATCTCAGACAAAATACTTTTTATTTTGTCTGAGTCTTATATTGAGTCTTTAGTTAAACGTTATAATATTGAGAATGCAAAATTGTTTAAAACCCCTATGGAAATAAATTTAAAATTGGAACAACCTGATATTAATGAGGATGTAAAATATAGAAATTTGATTGGTGCTCTTTTGTATATTAGTTCAGGTACTAGACCTGATATATCTTACAGTGTAAATTACTTCTACTAAGCAGATTCCAAAACTGTTATAATGAAACACATTTTAAGTATGCTTTAAGAGTTTTAAATTATTTGTATTTGACAAAAGATCTTAAATTAACATATTGTAATAATAGTAATGCTATATTCTGGATTGTTTTGTGGATGCTGATTGGGCAAGAGATATTATAAATAGGAAATCAACTACAGGATTTGTCATTAGATTGTTTGGAAATATTATTTACTGGAAATCAAAGAAACAAAGTAGTGTAACAAAGTCTTCAACATTTGCTGAATATATAGCTTTATCAGAAGCAGTAACAGAATTAAATATTCTTATTTGTCTAATAAATGATGTCTTCACTAAAGTTTGTAAACCAGTTAAAATTTATGAAGATAATTCAGGAGCTGTAGCCATTTCTAAATATGGAAACTTTACAAAGAACTCTAAGCACATTGAAGTTCACTATCATTTTATACATGAAAATGTTAAGCAAGGTAGTATTAAAGTAGTAAAAATAGAGTCAGAAAAAAATATTGCAGATATATTTACAAAAGCTTTGGGAAATGTTAAATTCACTAAATTTAGAGAAATGTTAAATTTAAAGGAGTAAAATAAAGATTGTTAATTGATAGTAACTGTAGAAGAAACTTTATCTAAATATTTTACAATATAAATGTAAGGAGGCGTGTTGGTAATTGTGTACATTTATATTGGCAACATTTTTTTCTGTTTCCTCTTTTCAATATGGCGTAAGCAAAGTATTACTCGTTTGATGTAACTGTTCTTTTTATATCAAATAAATAAGGAAAACTAAAACAAGAATGTGTAAATTAATTATTTTAACATTACTATTATATTATGTTATGC